GCTGGAGTGCAGTGGTGTGATCTCGGCTCACTGCAGCCTCCGCCTCCTGAGTTCAAGCAATTCTCCTGCCTCAGCCTCCTGAGTAGCTGGGACTACAGGTGCATGCCACCACCTCCAGCTAATTTTTGTATTTTTAGTAGAGACAGGGTTTCACCATGTTGGCCAGGATGGTCTCGATCTCTTGACCTTGGGATCTGCCCTCCTCAGCCTCCCAAAGTGCTGGGATTACAGATGTGAGCCACCACGCCCAGCCTAATTGCTAGTTCTAAGACAAGTAGAATGCTTTTAATTCTTACTTCTATTTTCCTATTTTCTAACCTTTGTTCTTTTTTATTAATGTGGGAAAAGATAATCTATAATGCAGTATAACAGTGGCATTTATAACGTATATAAGTCTATGTGATATGTAATTATTATTTATATACATTTATATATTATATATGTACATATATATTAATGCATTCGGTTTTTGTTCTGCTACACTGTGATCATCCTAGATTATTGATACATTAGCACAGGAGGTTTTTGTTAAAAGATTACTTGTTATGAAGTTACTTGTCAGTTGAAGACCTCCTTATTTCTTGCCTGAACAAGTTAGCAATAGCCTCCCTAACTGGTCTCCTCACTTCCAGTCTTGCCTCCTGTCAGATTCTTCCCCCATAAATGCTGCCAGGATGATGCATATAAAATGTTATTCTGTGTCATTGTCCTTAACACTGGTTACATGATATACAGCATAAAGTGTAAGAATTTTTGCATGTCATTCTAGTCCTCTATGATCTGGCCTCTGTATTGTCAACCTCTACTCCCACCCCTCATCTCTGTCCTTATATTCTAATAATAATCTGCTTATAGTATACCCTGTGTCTCTTACTATTTTGTTCTCTCTCTCTCTCTCTCTCTCTTTTTTTTTTTCCCAGAGCCTCACTCTGTTGCCCAGGCTGGAGTGCAGTGATGCAGTCATGGCTCTCTGCAGCCTTGACCTCCCAGAATCAAATGATTCTCCCACCTCAGCCTCCTGAGTAGCTGGGACTACAGGCGAGCTCCACCACCCCTGGCTTTTATTATTATTATTATTATTATTATTATTATTATTGTTTGTCAAGATAGGGTCTCTCATTTTGCCAAGACAGGTCTCAAACTCTTGGGCTCATATGAGCCTCCTGCCGTAGTCTCCCAAGTGCTGGGATTGCAGTCATGAGCCATCATCCCAGCCCTTTGTCTTTAGTGTTCCTTCCTCTGTTTTTCAGCTGACCAAATTCTCATCCTTTAAGATAGAGCTCAGGTATCCATTTATCCAGCATAACTTTGTCTTCCCTCATTTGTTTCTAGGCTATACTAAGTGAGTGAACTCTCTCCATGTTTTCAGAGCATACTAGGTATAAACATATCACTGGACGGACCACATTATATTACAGTCATCTATTTATGTCTTTGTCTTCTGTCTCTGGCTAAGTCCTCAATTCCAGGGACTGTGTCTTATGCACTTTGGTAACCTCTTTCATCAACACAGTGTATGGGAAAATACATACTCATTAAATGTTTGTGAAATGAATTAAATAATTCACATTTTAGCAGAAAAATAATTGTAGAATGAACTAAAGGTAAAAATTGGGCTCTGGGCTGGGCGTGGTGGCTCACACTTGTAATCCCAGCACTTTGGGAGGCTGAGGCGGGCAGATTGCCTGAGCTCAGGAGTTTGAGACCAGCCTGGGCAATACAGTGAAATCCCATCTCTACTAAAATACAAAAAATTAGCTGGGCGCGGCGGCGTGTGCCTGTAGTCTCAGCTACTTGGGAGGCTGAGGCAGGAGAATTGCAAGAACCCGGGAGGCAAAGGTTTCAGTGAGCCAAGATTGCACCACTGCACTCCAGCCTGGGCGCCAGAGTGAGATTTCGTTTCAAAAAAAAAAAAAAAAAAAAAAAAAAATGGGCTCTGGCTACTTCTTTGGTCTCTCTAGGTTTAGGATGTAGATATGCATTGTTCCCCAGAGAGAGCTTGACTGCAAAGGTTTTATTACTTTCCAGAGGATTCCTACCTTGGATTATGTTTTCCAGTAAAGTGGTGGATGTTTATTTATATCCACTTCTCACCTTGACTCATGATTATAGATGCTCTGTTCCTTAGGATAGCGGTAATAATCAGATTGCTTTGTCTTTCTAGTTCATATGTAGTTCTGTCCCCTTGGCTTTATTTCCTCTTTGGCTCATTTTATTCATTTCTTAGTTGCTACGTGGCTTCTTCTATTAACAGCATCTGTGTATAATCCAAGTAGACTACCTTTTGCCTTGTAGGTTTTCTGTTTAGGAAAGCACATAAACCATAAATGATGTTTATATATGTCTTGCTTTTTTCAGGAAGTAATCCAACCTTT